ACAGCGTGTCTTGGGACGTGGAAGCCACTCGCTCGAGGAGCTCATCTCACTGCATCAACTGCGGTGGTTGGGACACGTATTGCGCATGCCTGTCCAGCGTTACCCCCGTCGTGCGTTGTTTGCACTTGCTGGACAGGGCTGGAAGAGACGGTCTGGTGGACAGCCTACAACATGGAGAAGCCGCATGAAAAAGTTGACGAAACAATTGGCCTCGGCCGGTTGTTGTCGACTACCTGGTTGGGGTCCGAGAGATGCGGATACTTGCTGGTTGAAAACCTTGGAAGTTATGGCTCAAGATCGATATCAATGGCGGACGTGTGCATCAGTGTGTTGCGGTGTCCCTTCCTCTTCCCCCTAAAAAAAAGAACAAACTGAAAAAAAATTCAAAAACTGTGAGTGGTAAACTTGACAAAAAAGCATTTCTTGTTGCTCTTTTCTTATTATTTATATTGTTTTCCTATTCAGCCATGATTCCGATGGCACAATATCTGTACCACAGATTGTGTATAATATATAATATATATATATATCCGATTACTCCATGGAGTCTATCTTCCTCAGTGAAATCGATAACATCACTGCAGCGTATGTGCGGAACTGAACTTGGTTTTACAAGCCATTTGGCTCGCCGAACAACCGTGGTACCAGCTGGGTGGTTCAGGTTAATCCTGTTCTAGTGAATCGTCCGGCGGCAGTGTTTCAGGACGTGGTGGGTTTGCGACTGGCAAGCGTTCTCCCTATAAAAAACCACAAATATCTGCTTAACAACACTGTGACGCGTCAAATGTTACTCGCCACTAGATGAAGTCACTGCAATACACACTCCACGGACGCCAGTCCTCCAGTACCATGTTTCGCTTTCATCCCTTCTCAAGCAGACGGTCCGATAGAACACAATCACAACTACTGCTTCACATCTAGGACTTCAAGAAACGCAACTACAAACATTCATACCGGCATACACAAATACCCATCACAGATCCAATATGATACTACTAACTTTGCAACCTTATTCTTGAGTTCACTTGTTCGCCGAGCTTCGGAGTTGGGATGCAAACATTTCATCACCAAGCGAGGTGACTTCGTCAGTGCGCTGCTGGGTCCAATCTAATCCGCTGACTTGTTCGTCGATTTATGATCGATCAGCAAGTGACTTTTGAACTGGCCTCGATCTGTGCCCCGTGACCTTCACCAGTCCACCCAACTCTGATAGATACGGGCGATCCGTGGGATGGTTTTGCCCCGACTGTTGTTGATGGCTCGTTTAGCCGACCACGACGGTTTCTTCTTTCTTTTTAAGGTGTTTTACTTCCCTCCGTCTTAATGTTTGGTACACTGCATGTTTATCGAATGCTGCGTTGAGTACCATGCTTCGAGGAACTCTCTTCCTTTCCGTGTCTCTCCTTTTGCTAGGACTTCTGTGTTGTTCCAATCGAAGTGATGATCTTCGTCTGTATGTATTGAAATCAGTGTGAGAGCGTAGTGGTTCTTACAAGCTCTCTTATGCTCTTGTATTCTTGTTGACAGTCGTCTTTCTGTTTGACCCACATAGTTTTTATCACAATCTTGACATCGTATCTTGTAAACAACATTTCGTCTTTCGTGTGTTTCGGGTCTAGCTTTGGGGTTCGACAGAGTTCTCCTCAATGTGGCAGTTGGTTTGTGGGCCACTGTAAGACCGTGCCGTTTGAATAATCTTGCTGTCATCTCGGAGATGTTCTTTACATAAGGTAGAACGATTCTCTTTGTTGTCATCTGGTCAGGCTGAGGGGTCGTAACTTTGTTGTTTAGACATCGCCGGAGGAAGCCATGTGGATAACCATTTAGATGAAATGATCTGAACAGATACATCTCTTCTTTTCGTTTTGCCTCAAGAGTGCTGCAATGTGTTTCAATTCTAGGAAAGAGAGTTCGCATGCAGCTTATTTTATGACATTTCGGGTGATTGCTAGAGTAGTTTAGAATCTGCTCGGTGTGTGTTTCTTTCCTGTAAACTGATGTTTGTAACTCTCCGTCAATCGTCCTGGTGACTAACACATCCAAGAATGGGAGCTGGTTATCTATTTCAGACTCCATCATTAAATGAATGTCTTCAATGATGTTATTGAGTAACTGGTATGCAGCCTATACTTGACCACGTTTCAGTATCACGAATGTATCATCAACGTGCACAGCAGTTTCTGGAGAAGCTCAAAGATATACGAGTAGATCATGACGAGTTAACGGTATCGTTCGACGTGACCGCACTCTTTACGTCTGTCAATTTACAGACCGCAAAGCAAGCAATCAGCGAACATCTGGATCAAAGTGAGAAAACAATCGGAAAGCTGACGACTGAAAACCTGTGCAAGCTACTTGACCTATGCCTCGCGACCTACTTTAATTTTGATGGACAGATTTATGAGCAGGTGAAAGGAGCGCCAATGGGATCCCCGATGTCAGGGCTCGTGGCAGAGATAGAAATGCAGAAACTTGAAGAGAACGCACTGCCCATAATCAACCCAAAGTTGTGGATCCGATACGTTGATGATACATTCGTGATACTGAAACGTGGTCAAGTAGAGGCTGCATACCAGTTACTCAATAACATCATTGAAGACATTCATTTAATGATGGAGTCTGAAATAGATAACCAGCTCCCATTCTTGGATGTGTTAGTCACCAGGACGATTGACGGAGAGTTACAAACATCAGTTTACAGGAAAGAAACACACACCGAGCAGATTCTAAACTACTCTAGCAATCACCCGAAATGTCATAAAATAAGCTGCGTGCGAACTCTCTTTCCTAGAATTGAAACACATTGCAGCACTCTTGAGGCAAAACGAAAAGAAGAGATGTATCTGTTCAGATCATTTCATCTAAATGGTTATCCACATGGCTTCCTCCGGCGATGTCTAAACAACAAAGTTACGACCCCTCAGCCTGATCAGATGACAACAAAGAGAATCGTTCTACCTTATGTAAAGAACATCTCCGAGATGACAGCAAGATTATTCAAACGGCACGGTCTTACAGTGGCCCACAAACCAACTGCCACATTGAGGAGAACTCTGTCGAACCCCAAAGCTAGACCCGAAACACACGAAAGACGAAATGTTGTTTACAAGATACGATGTCAAGATTGTGATAAAAACTATGTGGGTCAAACAGAAAGACGACTGTCAACAAGAATACAAGAGCATAAGAGAGCTTGTAAGAACCACTACGCTCTCACACTGATTTCAATACATACAGACGAAGATCATCACTTCGATTGGAACAACGCAGAAGTCCTAGCAAAAGGAGAGACACGGAAAGGAAGAGAGTTCCTCGAAGCATGGTACTCAACGCAGCATTCGATAAACATGCAGTGTACCAAACATTAAGACGGAGGGAAGTAAAACACCTTAAAAAAGAAAGAAGAAACCGTCGTGGTCGGCTAAACGAGCCATCAACAACAGTCGGGGCAAAACCATCCCACGGATCGCCCGTATCTATCAGAGTTGGATGGACTGGTGAAGATCACGGGGCACAGATCGAGGCCAGTTCAAAAGTCACTTGCTGATCGATCACAAATCGACGAACAAGTCAGCGGATTAGATTGGACCCAGCAGCGCACTGACGAAGTCACCTCGCTTGGTGATGAAATGTTTGCATCCCAACTCCGAAGCTCGGCGAACAAGTGAACTCAAGAATGATCGACTTGAGCTATCCCTGCATCAAGTCATTTTGCAACCTTATTGTACGTTTGCCAATCATCCGTGTTGGTATTGCTATGATCATGCCTATTCAGGCCTGCCTCGCTATGTCGAGAATATAATATTTATTTATTTATAAGGCGACGCTCTTTCGAAAAATTTAACATAGCTTTCACGATTATTTATTTTCAGCAACAAACAAGAAATATATATTCACCATTGTCGATGAATTGTCTAGATTCTTACTTGCCACTTCATGTTGTGACTTGACAACTTCAGTCGTGCTTAATTGTCTCACCTGACTTTTCTCTATCTTCGGGATACTGCTGTACATCCATTCTGATCGCGGTTTCTCCTTCATATCCCTACAAGTGCGGCATTTCCTTGCACAGAAAGATATTGCGGTCAATCGGACGATGCCGCACAACTCCAAGGTAGTGAACAAGTAAAGCGGATTGATGGCTTCATCAGAAAATAGATTACTATTGCACTCAGATCTAAGGGGCTCGCAACAACCTAATGGGGAAGCACTTTGCTAGATGCTCTATCTTCAATTCTATTTCTTCTTTGCATCGATTTTCACGGAAGACTTCTGTTACAACCATACATCGACATCTGGTATCTCGCCACCAAGTTGGCTGACGGTGCCAGAACCAGTCTTGCTGTGCCGTAATATGAGATCCTCAAAATACCAACCGCTAGTGGATGCAGTTGTGTTATCAAATTGCAATCCCCGGTATGCTCATATTCGATTTCCCGGTGGAAGAGAAGGCACTGTGTCGCCACAAAACTTGGCACCACCAGTACTGCGTTAATCCAGTGGTTCTTCTACTCCCCCCAACGAAATAACCACTCAAATTGCAACGACACTGACGTACCCCAGATTGCCCCCACTTATTTGGTCTCATCAAATTTTGATAGCAGGCATCGAACCCGGGACCATTGGGCTGCTTTTTGTGACCGCCACCGGATAGCTTAATAGTGGCAGTTACAACTAACATTCTAATGGTTCCGGGTTCGATACCTGCTCTCTGATGAGACCAAATAAGGGGAAACTCACCATGGAGTGTAGTGTTTTCGGATGGGAACACCCAATTTCCATCTAATACAACTACGGTCCTAGTGATCGAATGACCAAGGTTCAGTGAGAATCGCGGTCCATATTGAGATTGCGAGTCGCAACCCATCCACACAATGTGTACTTCACAATGACCCTTCAATCATGTTTACTATGTTCGACAAAATCATCGATCACCTACACAGTCACTCATTCCCCGCGTCCTCTCTTCAGGCTTCAATCAATATCACTTCTACATCGTAATGCCGCAATTGTACCGACCACCCGATATTCCGAAAGTTGTGTATGTTCCTTCATAGCACTTTTACTAATTTCTTCCTAGGAGCAGCATAAGGTTTCAGCTGTGCAACGAGGGTGATATTAAACAATTTAGCCATGTACAGGTGTTGAAGTGCTTGTTGTATGGTGAGGGTCAGAACAACCGCAAGGCACTGGAGTACGGCCTTTTGGATCCGAAATTGGGTGCAAACAAAAGGGACGAAATATGTGTGACTTGTGGACTGGATTACCAGACCTGCATAGGTCATTGGGGCCATTTCGATTTACCGGTACCGATCTATCATGTGGGTTATTCCTGGCACATTGTGAAGATTTTACAGTCCATATGCAAGGTAAGCTAATCTATCAATCTCTGGAAAGGCCACAGAATTGCAGTCGCGTTATGCTACAGAAGGCACATCGCGATAAACTGTTATCTACCTGTTCAAACCCCAGTTTGGAGTATATCCATAAAAAACAGCTGCGCAAGGCGGTGCACAAACTGGCAAGTAAGACCCGCGTATGTCCATATTGCAACGCGATAAATGGTAAGGTTCCGCTTTCATGCATCAACTTTCTTTAGGGTTCGTAACTAAGGGGCCAAATTTGTCATGCGTTATTCACGACGTTTTTCGGTATGCAAAGGCCAAACTTGACGATTATTTGACCGAATTCTCTGGTGTGTTATCGGAAAATGCCGACTTGGCTCCATTGCTACGCAAGGGACTTGTGAGTTATCTTTTTTAGCCCTTTTATACCATAGTGCGATTTGGGTTATATGTCAGTTTGCTATATTTTCCTCCATTGCTGCCGGTTCGCTAATGTAGCTACAGGCGATTCTGATGGTTTTCCGATTTGTCTGATACTATGTTATTCATGTTCCACCTACATTAGTTCAATTTCCAAGCCTTATCTGGTAAGAAAGGTTCTACTACCCTGACCATAAATAAACATCTGCAACATGATCATGCTACATTCACATGCTCTTGACTGTCTGCACTCCGCTGTAACGGAGTGCTCGGAATTTCTCGAACGGTGAACGATACAATTATGTCCCTTCCCTTCGATTCTTGACGCGCGTCCTCTTTTGTGCATTTCCTTTCTGCGGGCGGTCGAAGCCCCATGATGGACCAGAGGCGATGAGACTGCGTATTGACGTGGTGCCATGGTTTACGCACTTACACTGCACTGAATGTCGCTTTCTAGTTGTCTTCAGAGCCACTTATACCTTATAGATCTTTAGGTTGATATTAGACAAGTTTTGTCGGTGGTCTATTGGTAAAAGGTCTGCTTAGTACTCCAGAGATCGCCGCTTCGTATCTGCGTAGACGCGGACGACTTCACGTGGCAGGTTAGCGTCGGTACGGCGTATTGGCATACTGCTTATGCTCTATATACCGAACAAACTTAGTTTCAACACCATCGGAAGCCTGGGTCGACGACCTCCTATTATAGCATGGTCATGGAAGACACCAATGTGCGCGATATATGCCCAGTTCGATTGGTGTAGGACAAGGGCTTCATGGATTGTCGCTGACAATGAGAGAGCATCATTTTTACTCCTTGCCTTTCGCTACTGCCCACTTTTAAGGAGGTATCCCCTGATCGCTACGATACAAATGTGTCAAGACAGGTTATTGAGTCGAAAACAATGAGAGCTCAGTCTGGTTCAGTTGAGCGACTGTGACCTGGTCACCGAAGTGCGGTGGATCCAGTTGTCACAACTTGCGTCGCCAGAATCCCAATACATAAAAATGGTAAGATGATGCAAAACAGGCAAATACAGAGAAAATGGCGTTACGAATATTTTAATTAAAATTAACAGGTATGGAATGTTAACAACTCGGTGCAAGAAACCGAATGCAGAAGGGCCAATGACCCTGCTACTACGTAGTGTCTGCTGGGGTTTCCAATATATGATGTGCCTATCCAGAAGCCCCCATTCGCAAAGACCGCATGCACCAGTTTAATCATGTCTAGCGGCCAATATTTTTCATGCCTTCATACCACCTTGTCGATCATTCGCCTGAGGATTTCGTCTCTCCAGGTGCAACGACAGTACATACTATGCGCCGAAGAAGGCGGAAGACGAGCATACGTATGGCGTAACGGAGCTAACATAACCGCTTCAACTTTAACAAACACTCCAGCGGGGCACGAAAGGGTATCTTGCGACACACTAGTTGGCAAACTTCAGTTTACTTACCTGGCGTTCCCACGAGGCGTGGGGAATACCGTTGACACATGTGATAAAACACGGCCAACAGTTTAGTGTCTTCACTGCGAACTGGACTTGTCTCTCCCCCAGGCCTTATCACAGCGTCATACACCCCACATTTCACTGACAAACTGCTATCCTGTCGCCTCTATAGGTAGTTTCGTTTCTTTGAAGCTACACAGGCCTTCTTGATATGCGAAGTAACACTTTCATTGACAACCGCCAGGGGTGACATAACTATCAAAGTGAGTGGCATTTGCTGATAGCAAGAACATATAACCCACTTCTGCAACAATAATTCCCACTTTAAAGGTAAAAGGCATGTGTCGAAAGTGCAACGCTACGCGTCAATCTATTCAGTAGTGTTTGCATTGCCACTGGGTGCGGCCCAAGGAGGACTGTCCTCCGTTTACATCATTTGTCAGTCGGTCATCTGACAGGACTTCCACTCCGAAATGAGCTGAGAGGATGGAGTTATCTTTAACCATTTTGATCACAAAACTGAAAAGCAGGCTAGTTATAGGACAATTCTGTCAGATCCCACTTATCGTAGGGACCATTGTCCGGAGTCGCGGTATGAAGATCAAATAATTGCAAGAACTTTCCATGGTACGCCCTTCATGAATAGACAGTAGCGTAGGCTGGTACTGTCAATAGACTCGAAAGCAGCTTTCAGGTCGAAGTACAAAGTCCTCCAAGATTGGCAGGGACCCACCAGTGCACTGACGCTTGGTGGTGATAAGCTAGAAGTCATTCAGGGATTCAAGTACCTAGACAGCTATATTAGGGACCATGGGATCGCAAATGAGGTCATGAACCGTATAGCAAATGCTCGAAGTGCTCTTGCCAATCTCCGCCACCTGTTGCGCCGACGCGACTTCACTCGCCCTGAAGGACAGAATTTACATTTCAGCCGTCCGTTCAACTCTGCTATATGGTTGCGAAAACTGGCCCATCAGTTCGACAGATGTGAAGGGGCTAGTTACCTCCGATCATTACTTTTTTCCCAGTTTAGTTCATGTTTGATGAGAGCACGGCGTGAGCAATAAATATTTTTGACGTTGGCTATTTGGTGCAGAAAGAGCGGGTGGACCGCTCAGCACCATTATATCACACACCAGACTCGGATCGCTGGGCTACGTGTTGCGCATTCCAGCGCAGGGACTCCTTCGTCGTGCTTTTGCGCGTCCAGGGTGTGAATAGAAGAGGAGGAGGGGAGGCCAAGCGATGACTTGGTCGAGAGGAATGGAAACACACTTCGAGGTTGACGTCGGTCTTTGCATCCCGACTGTCGGTCTGGGGTTTGAAGGACGATGAGCACGTTTGGTCGGATACACTAGCTGACATGGGAGTATCCGATTGCATTGACGTTTGTGTTGTGAGTTTCTTTATCCATTCCTATCCCCTTAGATTCCATCTCCAGTTACGATCTCTTACCAAATGCACATTATATTTAATGTTATCTTACTTGCTTTTTGGGCTTTATTTTCGTTTGCAATCATTAACTTGTTATCTTTGTGTGTTGCAGCACATTTGCTGAGGTGTATTTCTCACCCTCAGCTAACGTGTATTGATGATGATGATGATCTAGGTCAAGGAAAACCACTGTAGTTGGTCGTCTATGCGTCTCTGCTCCAATACTAATCGATCTATGGCGGATTGATATTGGGCATCCGTTTTGTAATCCATAGGTCGCCAGTTCAAATCTGCATAGATGCGGATGGTCACACAATATCCCTAACTCACGCCTGACTGGTGGTCGCGTGCATAGAAGCATGGTACAGTGTAACGGAATACCTCTGAGGTCTGTCACTTGATGAAGAGTAACTATGTAGTCAATGCAGCCACGACTAAAGCGGAAATCTAGCTGGCTCAACGAATTGGCTCTCACGAGTGCCATTAAATCACCAAAGGATAATACACGTACGAAACCTGGGGACAATGGACCTAGGGTTGATGCCTCAATGGTTGTTGCACAAAGTCCGTTGACTCTTTTTGAAGATGGGCACGACCGTTGACGATTGCCAGTATAAAGGTACCTCTTCAGTGTCACGAACCGTGTTGATTGGAGCAACATTTCCAATCAACAAAAATTCACTTCTATCTTTCAGAAAACAGAGATGAAACTGGCCGGGTCCATGAGCATTGTTTCATCACAATAAGTTCTTTTCACATCTCTTCTAAAGTAGGGGATGTGACATCAACTTTCCACCTAGGTTCAGGTGATTCCGAAGGCAGCACTTCCACAGCAGATCTGCTGAACTACTTTTTATAATACCTTGCTCGTTGTGTTAGTCGACGCGGCTGAGAATGGATCAACTGTCCATCTTTCCCAGCAATTGTCTCACTGATTGGAGGTTTTCTTGGACCCGTGGACCCGAGCAAGAACAGTATTTGACCGTTTCCAATAAAACTGGAGTTCTGCCATTAGTGAGTCCCCTGACCAAACCTCTATATACTCTGTGACATTGTGATTCGGACTTTTGACTCAACGGCTGGAGACTGGAGTCCGATTGAAAATTCTAAGGAATAGGCAACTGACGACTATCATCTATACGCGACTTCCCCTGTCTAACGCTCCCACTTTCGTTTCCGTTCCTTTTTGAACCTTTTCTCACATGTTTACCTGCAAGAGACGACTACTAATTTCATCGGACACACTTTCGAAGTGGTGCCATCTTTCAAGTCTAAGATATCATTCTGCAGTGTCTTTCAGTGGTCACACTGTCAGATAGGTGAACACGAGACACTCGAATTTATTATGTTCTGTGTCTCAGAGACACAAGTGCAGCTCATTGGCATCTTAGGGTATTTACGCTTACCAACTCCGATGCCGTTGACTGTAACCGCACCTTCCGTTACTCTACAAAATTCACGACGCGGCGTTTCTGATATCTTGATCGCTCTCAGCAAACGTGCTTGGGCTGATCTTCTGGAACGAACTCGGGGATCAATCGCATTTCTGATATTCGGTTTCCAAACATCATCAATATTGGTAGACAAAGGCAGAAGCCAAACTGCATCCTTTTTCCTCGGCTTATGCTTCTGTTACCGTTCTTTACATGGTATCAAAAGTGAGTTCTGTGCACATCTATCTTCACTCATTCGAATTACTGGAAACACGGGAGTCTTGATCGTTATGGGTGACATGAATATTCAGATAGGTCACCAATCGTTTTGGAACATCACCTTGACTGCCGTATCGGAGTTGTTGCATATTGTGTTGTCAATAGCAGCCACTTTTTCCGCCACGTGCCTACAACCACCACTATATCAGCGGCCTAAATTTCTAGCACGACGTTCCTCACCGACCTACATAGCAATGAACGAACTACAATTTGTCTTGGATTTAAAATTGATCATAGCACCTTTGCTTATGTATGGCGCACTTTAGCTCAAAATTGTCCGTCGATCTGGAGTAATGACCTCGATTATGGACGTACTCTTGTTGGTGCCCACTTGATGCTCTCTTCTTGCATTGTCACATTTACTAACTGCGGAAGTACTTGCTCGTTAACCACATTCGCCGTTCGCAAGGCAGCGGTATCGGTTTTTATTGTAGCGCTAACCGTCGCTGACAACCGACACAAGGTAATCACATACCCACTGGAATCCTCCGCGACACATGATGCAGTTGAGAACGCTTGCCTACCCTACCTAAAGCCTCTGACTTGTAGCTTTATTTATGTGGCATCGATAAGTCTGAAGAGTGGACGTAGTTTCCGTTTGTAAATTGATTTCGAAGTGTCCTTGGTTCTGAAACGGAGTCTGACTAGAAATCTTGGAGCCCACTGGGAACATTGATGGCAACGAGGACCCATCTGTAACATTAGTGTTCCGATTCATTTGATGCACTAGTCCCAGCAAGGCTCCAGTAGCTGAGACAGTGTCTGAGCAAGATAGCAGGCTGATTGAGTAATTTATTCGGCTAAAACGATGACTCGAACATAGTAGTGAAATGCAATCGACTCGATGTATCGAAGTTATTAGTTGGGTCTCCTGAATCTACCTGGGACCTTGGTGTGGCAATTTTCACCATCGACGAGATCATAGTACTGCTAAAACGGAACTAGACGCCTGGTCCAGACGACTTTCTATCATCACTTCTGTAGGCCCGTGGTGACACCGGCGGCTGTATTGACTGCTCTGTTTGACGCTATTTAGCACAATAAGGAAGTGCTGTTTGACCGATGCTCGTCAACCGTCCTCAACATCTTTAAAATGGGAAAAGGGCGTCCTGCGAAAATTAGCGTAATCTCATTCTAATCGCGGCCGTTTCCAAACCGTTCACGTGCATTATTCTGCTACCCCTCTGCTCCTCGTAATGACGAGTCAGTGAAATTTAGGGTGGATTGCATCCCATCAGAGGGCATATTGACCACGTTTTTACTCTTCATCAGGTGTTTCAAGTTTATCATACATACAGACAACCTACCTTGACAGTTTTCCTTATCCGTGGGTTACCTTTGATTCTGTTGCTCGCACTTGTTTGTGGCTGCATCCATTTCTGGATGGTGTACCTAAGGAATTCCTTTTTTCTGCAATTTCCATACCACCGGAAACTGAGTTCACCGCGATAATGTAAGTCAGGGATGTACTGTTTCTCTATTTCTCTCCCGTTTTTTTGATAGTAATGATCATGAATGACTCTACTGCCTTCCACTTCTCCTGGAGTCAGCGTTCTGTTAGGCGATCGGAAGAACTCCAGCATATGTGGATATCATAGCTTCCTTAGGATCGGACGCAGCTGTTATGCAACCGCTACTACACAGCGCTACATGCTATGGAATGTGCATCTTAGTATGCACCACTGTATAGTTCTGGAATTTTTGTCAGTTTAACGGCATATAGTCCACGTAAACGGGCATGTTGTCATCTACGTTATTGTAGAAAAACACTGGCACGCCTGTTCTGGGGACTTTCGAAGTCGATTTTGTGACGTTTTCCTATTCATGACTTAATTATAGTCTGCTTACAACATGCGCGTCAGATCCAGGGGATGGGTGTTAGACCACGCCATGCACCGCCTCCTTAAACTGCAATATACGACCGATCAACTTCTCGGACTGTTAATCGGTTTACTTCTTTAGTTGGTTCCTTCATTTTTTGGAGTTACATCATGAAAAGGGCTCACGGGGCTTTTCAAACCCTCGATCATTTATGGGGTTGGCTCGATATATGGTTAATGTCCAAGGAATGGGTTTATAACGCTGCGTTACCTTCAGTATTACTTTGTACCTTACATGCCTAGCTTCTGCGAGCTAAAGATACTAAGAAACTACCGCGTTTGAGCAGCAATACCTGCGAAGTGTTGTCCATATCTGGTGCAAGAACCGAATGGGTGATGTTGTTAGTATCCTTCGTCAGCAGATGCTCCGGTGCCTCACTCGGAAATGCCTGTTGCACTGGAATCGCCTTCGTTCGTTCTGTTATGTGCTCCACATGCATACAAGCTGTTTACCTTAGTGTGTGTTACTTGCCGATGTTTTGTCTAGTTTTTTGAAATCCTTACGTGTTCAGTCAGCCAATGGGACATGCAGATCACCGCAAGACTTAGTCAGGTTCGTGCGAATCCTGGGGAGCAGCCACATCAGTGAGATATAACACAGAGTGACGCTCTCGCACTATTCTTTACCATTCAGTCTGATGAATTCGCTTTTTGTCCTTTTCCCTTGAATGGCTACTATTATTATTACTGTTATTAACATTGTCATTTTGGCGAAGTGTGTCAAGGTAGTCAGATTAACTGCAACTTGATGCATGAGTTAAATTCGAACAATTAAGCCAACCTGAGCATCAATTGAGTAAAGAATACGAGTGCAGCAGAAACTCCATCTTCTTCCCCATTTATGCGTCACGTCCTCACGCCGCATTACATGGCATAACAGTACTGTAGTTTGTTATGTCCCCGATGCTCGGTTTCCGTAACGTATTTGATTCGGTCTGTATATCTGTTTCCATCGCTAACTTAGTCCGGTACGTGTTCCTACACTATGCTTCACGGCGCTCTGTCGTACACATTTTTTGTGTTAGGGAGTTCATCAGCTTTATGCCGTTTCTTAACTTTTATCCGGCTTTATCGTAGACTCCGTCATGAGCTTTACTGGAATTGGTCCCATGATGAGACATTGAGGCCCTACTGGGGGGAACCGATTAATTTACTGTCCCAGACGACGCAATTACTCTGCACACACTGCGGAAAAGTTCTCTTCTTGGGTACCTGCTTTTTCTTTCAGGCTATACAGTTCTTTCGCAGGATTATCAGCTTTTTTCCTGTCTTCTGACAATGAAAAACGGTAATATTAATCAGTTAAGAGTAACAGGCGCATGACTGCGGAAATTAGTTCCTGTATTAATAAACTGTGAACCACTTATCAATCATCTTTGGCACCGACCGTTGGTTCGTACCGGTGACTTCTTTCGGTATGCAGTGTGGTTTATACAGAATTACAGTAAGGGCAATTTTCCTTGGTAGCGATTCCTCAGCTCCTTGATCTGAGAATAACTTGTGTCTTCAAATCTTGGGCCACCATTATTTACGGAGCATTGTTGGATTTGACTAGCCCGGCTGTCAACCGTGACGCTGCGAGTGTTGTTAGTACTTGATGGTGATGATCAGTTTAGTTTCTTAAGTTGTCGGGAAGGCATTTGTTATTCTTACCAGCCCACCGCTAACTACGAGTAGCTTTACTTTACTTGCCGGCTCTAAAGTGGCTTAAGGTCCGAAGTAGACAACCACTGCCCAGACGGTGCGAGACGAAGTTCTGTCCACTAAACGAGACATGCTCTAGCTTGTTCGCCTTCCATCTTGAGCCCCACGCTCTTCAGGCAAAACAGTATGAGACACGGTCAATAGCCGGATGTTATGGCAGTGAGTTATCTGTGGGGTAAAGTTCACCATAAAGCGAGGCCGTGAAACCGCAAGCAGCCTTACCGATACTGCTTCTTTTTCACGTAGTAGTCAGTCGTTTTTGGAGTATCCGATGTTAGTACGGTACAACTGCCTCGATTTTGCATGTTTACTCAACTTGTTTAGGTCCTATGGTAAGTCCGTTTTCACTTTTCTGCTTTCGTATTTTTCATCTCATCTCTTTCAAATTGGTACTGCAACTTCGCGCAGGTGCGATGTGCTCATATTTCACCGCTTCTATCATTGTTGATCATGATGATGGTACGCCACCTTCTTTTCGCTTGGTGGTTTGACGCCACATTATCGAATCCAGACATGCTAAATTGTTTGTCCGCACTTTCATACTTTATTTGTGACTTATTTAACGAGCTCTGTTTTTGTCACAGGAGATTATCAGGCCAAGCAAGGCGTTGCAACTGTTTTCGAAAATCCCCGAAGAAGATCTGCCTCTACTTTTGATGCCTAGTGGCAGCACCTGGGTCACCACTCCGAAGGATCTGATTGTCCGGCGCGTTCCAGTAGCGCCAAGTGCCATCCGTCCTTCTGTTGTATCTGAGGTTCGAAGTGGAACGTGAGTTCCTGTTCATTGCTGTACTTTCATTTTCTGACGCTTGCGTCACCACAGGCCACGCTTATGCGAAACTGCGCACAAACCTAGCTTCATTGTTTCCCCAGAGTTCCACTTGAGTACTACTGTAGTGCCTCAGTTTTCGAGCAATTTAAACTCTCGCCTCAGGCACATATTAGCTTCGTTATTTTGCATGTTATGATGTCCGTTTGTCTTCCCTTGTTATCGTGTTTCGTCTCACTCACCGGCCACCATTACGCATGTAATTTGGTGGTGCTAACGGTTCTGACCTTAAACTGAGGCGTTACCACATGTCGAAAGTCCTTTCAGTGCTAACTGGCGCTTGCCACGCACTCTCCACTGGAAAGTCAGTGCAGGCACTGAGCCATTGTTCAATATTCATTTATATTTTACCCGACTTTGATGCAACAGCTTCTGCTCATTTCACTTACTTACACCCCGCCCTTGATCGCTTGGGTCCACACTCGCCGCTCTCTATGCCAATCCACTACTGTTTAACGCAAACTGACTCAGTCGTATATCCGGCCCATGCTCATGGCCATTTATCATTCTGTGACTTAAATCCCCACCGTTTTTATTTGAAACTTTTATTAAAACTTAAAGCTGGCATGGCAACAGATTAATCAGTTCTGTAATTGTTATGGGGGACGCATCTCCCTACAAAATCGCGCAGGCGAAATCACCTGACGCTTAGACACTCAAATTCATGCCAATGTACACGACTCAACCAGTTTTCTCATTTACCTGAATTCACTTTTTTCGACCAGATTGTCCTTACACAAACACTCATGTTTCCCAAACGTTCGTTTGCATTGTGTCAATACTCTTGCTTACGCCTCGCCTTTAGTTAAGCTTACACAGACTGTTCTATGTCAAAATTCACATGCGCAACCAATTTTGGGATAAAAAGGATGCAGGTCAATGCAATGTTCGCTCTCTCTCTCTCTCTCTCTCCATCGCTTGGAGTCGTGTAGACGTGTGTGTAGATCCGCGTTCGTTCTAATCGATTGTTCCAGCCCCACCCCTCCGCGTAGTAAACGTTTGGCGACTAAGCTTCACGGGTGTTACGAACCCAATTATGTTGGCTACTTTTCGGTATGCGTATGCAATTCGCAGTTCCTTCGTTTGTTCAGACTAGGGGAGTCGTTACCTCTAGACTGTTATAACAGTAATCTCCATCATTGTTTACAACCTGCTCCCACCTCTCAACCAATTTATCAGTGCTATTTCACCAGAAAATTTCGGGCCCGGACTGGAAGAAGTTGCTGAGCTAGCTTTTAATGGTGCCCGTCGTTGTCAGAACTTACGTCTCATTTATCCTGACGGCGAGCGCAAAAGATCCTAATCCCAACATTAAGGTGAATGTTGTGGAACCTCTCAATTGAGTTATAGGTAAACCGATCAATCTTTTAGCGATTGAGACATCTAGGTACTGAATATGCTTCGCCCCGTCGAAGTGTAAACTGCTGCTCTAGTATTGGCATTTGCACGCTCCTATGCTCATTCTTGAAGGTACACAGCCTGAACACGTGGATAGCCATGTCTACCTGGGCAGCTGCGTGTCTGCTAGTGGTACCGTTGAAAATTAGGTTTCCCTCCAAATCGCCAAAGCATGATAGGCGTCGACGGGATGTCTCCCTCTTGGCAAAGAACCGTTTGGTGATCTGGAAGCGAGTCGCGGCCAGTTCGTGTGGGTGACATACGACGGCTCTCGGCCTTCGACAATGAGTGCTTGAGGATGACTGCTCGTGTGTGGTGGCAACAAGGTATCTGCAACGGCGAGGTTCGTCGTCATGTCTTAAGGAATGTGCGTGTTCCATTCAACAAGCTGGTTGTCTTGCTCATGTCCTGCGTATGTCAGCTGAACGTTCGCCCCAACCTGCCCTGTTCGTTTGTGCAGGACTTGGCAGAAACAGACCACGCAGTGGTCAGCCGTTCATCTGTCGACTGCTTGTGAAACTGTTAACTTCGTGTCTTGTTGTCGTTGGATCCACACGCCTGCCTAGTTAGGGACCACAAGACAAGGAGAACGGATAGCTGAAAACAATTTAGGATGCAATTTTTAAAGGTATTCGTCCCAGTAGTTCACAAGCTACATAGCACAGCCTAGTCCGGAAAAGCACCGGAAGCGTTTCGCCTTATTGGGGCTCCTTAGTGATGCGCATTCCCTCCGTCCCCTACTGGGGCTTAAGCCACTGATCCATGGGGGACGTTAGCTGAGCTACATACTTTGCATGCTAACTGGGATATAGCACCACCTATCTTCCACTGTCACGGACAGTGGCTAGCCTGCGAGGTAATGACGTTCTCTCGCTAGACGCTATAGCCATAGCATTTGAAACTAGGAGAGGCTATTTATTTTATATTACTCTTGAGTAGCAGGGTTTTAGTTGTAATTTTTTAATGGTATTCATCCCAGTAGTTCACAAGCTACATAACACAGCCTAGTCCGGAAAAGCACCAGACGCGTTTCGCCCTATTGGGGCTCGTCAGTGGTGCGCATTCCCTCGGTCCCCTACTGGGGATCGAACCCATGACCGCTAGAGGCAGATGCCAACTAGCCAGCAGCCTAAGCTTGGGATGTGACGCAACCGAAACCAGTGGAAGATTTGTGTAGATATTTGTTTAGTTTCAGATGCTTAACGATTGAAAACCTGGTGTGTGCAAAGTTCTCTAAGTATGCTCCGTTTTTTTCTTTTACTTCACAATAGTTGAAATAGGTTGCTCATCTGCAACTAAAGTGCCATACTAATTATGCAACGATTCAACCTGTCTTTTTCCGTTGATTTTCATGGTTTTATTTGCCTCTATGTCAGTTCCTTCGCCTGTTGCTAACACAGAATACTGCCTGCAGCATGAAGCCTGGCGTTGTCCGTTGAGTCTTTTCTGTTATGGAGCCTTATTCACATGGTGCATTTGGACTACCTCTAGATACCTGTTAATTAATCTGTTCTTTTTAAACTCCTCCCAACGCACAAGACCATCACATCCCCATCTAATGCAGGTTCTACTTTTGCTTGACTCTCGGCTTTGGTGTTTCTCCCGAAGCCACGCACAACTTCCTTTGCTTCACATTCACATGGAGACACTATTTCTCATTTCCTCGTTACGATTCCGTACGACAGTCGTTTCTTGTAGCCGCTTGTTGCTCCGCGACGGGCGAGTTTCTGAGCAGCAGCTTGAGGGCAATTTTGCTTGCTAATTTGTGTAGACCAGCTTGGTACCTATTATCTGCGTTTCTAAGCAAAACTCATTGATTCAAGGTAATGGAAGATCGTCATTGCATTGTCGTTCATATTCTCGGCTAATTATTGGTGTGTTTGGTGGTCGACCTTCAAAGGCACTTTGAAGTGGTCTTTCTTGCACTCGGTGGATCGCCCAGTATGAAGCGTGTCGTCCGATTCAAGTGGTCATTTTTGAACTTGGCAAACTACTCCAGAGCAGTTTTTGTGGTTGTTTTAGTTTTCCGCAAATGCGATAGCTGCCTCACTTATTCTGTGTTTACGGCTAAAGGCGAATTTAAGGTTGAATTGGGCTTTCGCTCCACGTGGAAATTCCATTTCAAATCCTCGGAAGAAAAACTAATTTATTTGAAAAATCTGTCTACAAATAACCTCATTTTCGGTGATTCAACGTTAGACCAAATACAACGCACCTATTCAAATAGTTAAGAAAGGGTGGATTGATTAACTAGAAACGCACGGAACCTACCCGTACTGCAGCTAATCATGGTAATGCCAAGATTTTGACCAGCTGTTTAGCACATGCAACGCGGGTTGTTGAGACGAATCGCGATCGCCTCCGCCGGCCCGTAGCCTTAAGGATCACAAACCTGCCTTGTATTCCGAGGGCGCGGCTTCGCGTCTGTGTTTGGAACCGGGTGGCCCTCGCGGTATCATTAGCCCACGTGCGACTGTTAGTGGTTGCGCGGCATGAAAGCATCGGTACTGCATACCGGCGTACTGCTAATACTCTACCTTTTTCGCCAATGCAAGCATTCGGTATCTGATAACTTCGGGATGGACACTCCTCACACGATAGTGTAAACGAAAGGCTTCAGAGATAATGACGTGATTATTCGTTAGGGCTAGGTGTGCGATTATTGCGGTAGTGCACATTTTGTTCAGTCTTCGGCTTAGCGACGTTTGGTGATGCCTATGGACGCGTTCAGACAATCATCTCGTGGTGCGACCTACGTGACTTTTCCCGCAGAAACAGATAAATTAGCACACATTAGAAAGTTACATCCATAGACAGTCTAACCTTCAACTAGTGTAGCATGAACGTGGAAGTGAAGATACTGCGTATATGTGCTGTTTCATAAGTGTTACTGACGGCTGCTCGTACTCGTTTGCTAAGGAAAAGCGCTGTCACTAAGTTTGTGGAGAAAAACGTTATTCCAAATTACTACATCCAGTACGCCAAGATTCCAAAAGATGCGTGAAAACAAACTTAAAATAAATACGAAGGAATATTATGCTGTAACTCAACAGTCGGTTCATCGATGAGGGCTTTGGTGGTTTTTGCTTGGCTGCTTCTCACTGACTTTTCGCTTGTTTGGCCCACCAACAGTACAGCGTATTTCATACTAGGAACGTTGAACGTTTTCTGCTGCCTCTTCTTCTTATGAATTCGCGTCGCTGCCATTATGACCCAGTCAAGTGTAGACACTTACTTTCATGTTTTACTTCCCTACTCGTGTGGAACTCTCGAATTATTCAACGATAACGTTGGTCGGTCGGTCGCTCGACCATAAGATCAACAGTCAGAACTTCGTCGGACAAATACGTGTTTTCTAACTCTTTCTAACCCTATTATCTCTCGTTGTTTTTTTTCATTTTCTGTTGTTTCTCTCAGAAATGAAGATGATCTCACCCAGATGTACCAGTGGATTCTTGCCCAAGCTGCTACGCTGGAAGAGGATATTAGCGAAGTAGACCAGATTGCTTGTTTGGACAACTTACACGCAGAGTTCGCGCGCATGATCAATTCTCAGCAGTCTGGGCTGCCACCAGTTCAGGATCATAAATTTATGCGCGGGCTGCTCCAAAGGTTGTCGGGTAAGCATGGTCGGTTCCGGGGCAATTTGCTCGGTAAGCGGACCAACTATACGGCCCGCACCGTCATCTCTCCGGATCCTAACTTGCATATTGATGAGGTAAGCGTGATCCCACCTAGTACTTTCTGATTATTCTGTTGCTACCTCGGTATAACTCTGTCGTACTCGTGTCTCTTTGTGAGGCAGTTCTGGAGTCAATGGCTCCACGCGAATCTCTCCAACATGAGGTGTCACCTCACCGGGAAGGTGCTTTGGTTAAAGATTGCAATTGATAATCATTCCAAGCATTCCACCTCTTTCGAGATGGCTTGTCAAGGTGCATCCATCCAAAGAGCTCCGTCGCCATGGTTCCTTTATGGACTTGTGTTTGTTATCTTTGCAAACAAATTTTCAGGTCAACCGACAAGAGACCGCCTGTGACCTTACTACCCACCCATGATCCCATTTTCTCTTGTTCCTCTCTCTATACTGACTCCATTAGCTTACGATGCTATTTCTCACCGCACTGTTTTGGAATTGACATCTGCTGTGTCTCGGGTCCACACACACACACACACACACACACACACACACACAATGTAGTAATATTGCTGGGTGCTTTGTTTGCACGCGCCTTGTTAAAATACAAGGTGATATCATCGGCACAACTTTCAGGCAAGTGGTTTGTCACTTTTTTGTTACTCCTAGTCCTGGGAGCTCATGCCTTCAGTTCCATGTATCACATTGAATTGTTGTGTTGATCTGTTGAGCGGGTAGTGGGTTGGATGACTGATCTCTTTTTTTGTCCTACTGACCTAGTTTGTGGTGCTTCGCGTGCATTCTCTAGATCCAGGTACTATTGGCTTCACTTGGTTCTCAGCCCTGTGCGCATAGCATAGCATAGACGTCACCTATCCATGCGCCTACATGATTAATAATCAGTACATAGGAATACGTTTAGTCATCAACTTGATCTGGAGAGTGTAAAGTTGACGAAAAGAGCAAAAACTCATCATTCATTTGAATTCACTGAGGCCTGATACTCGGAACCAAATTCAGTCGACAGTCATCTGAAGGTAGAGGAAACTTTCGAAACTTTGCTAACCAAGGTCGCAATCTGCCTCAGGTCAGCCCGTAGCTTTAGAGATCACAAGCCTGCCTTGTAATCTGAGGACTAGGGTTCGAGTCTGCGTAGTGACCGGACGACCGTTGTAGTATCCTTAGCCCACGTGCGACCGGAGGCAGTTGCGCGGCAGCGAAGCGTCGGCTTATCGGCGTCACTCTGATGTCTTTCTTTCCTTCAGCCATGCAACGTGTGCACTTTTTCCCGATTCCTCCCTACACCCACCTCAACCCACTGCGCCATTATGCATTCGGGAAGCCGAAACACGATCACTGACTGACTGACAGTAGAAACAAAGCGACGGCATAGCATGTTATTTAGGTCGTGTTGCTTATCCTAGTGATACAGTGCCCGTAAAACGAACCGCATGGCTCGAGAACAGCCCAGCATCCTCATCTGTCTTCCGTGTTTCCGTGGTAACCGAGTCGATGAAGAGCTGTTTTTTGTCTCTGGGTTGCCTTCGGCCGAATCGTTCGGATCCTTTTGCGCTATTCTATCCACTTGTTTTCCGATATGTGTGATTGGACTTCATCACTTCGTCGTATCGCCTGCTAATCGGATGACACTATGATGTGGTTCGAGAAACCGACCAATAGACCGAATCGAGTGAGTACGCGTCAGTGTCCCCGATAGGAACTACAGGACTTACCGCACCGGTTGTAAACCTCATTACATGTTACCTCGTCCCGAAGTCAGCGACGTTCTTGCATCCGGTCCTTTATTCTTGACCACTCTATCTAATTAAGGTAATTCATCATCGTCACTCCCAGTCAGCCAGGCGTTTCGACATTCTGGGGCTCGTCAGTGGTGCGCCTCCCAACGGACCCTTGCCGGGTTCCGCCCCCCATGACTTCAGGATGCCAGCAGCTAGTGCCACTTCGCCATGGGTGACAGCGGCGGACCTGTGTGATTGACAGTTGACTATGATATAACCCAGCTCATCTTCCACTTCCATGCCAGTTACGAACTGTGCAAAGGACAATGGCCGGCCTCACGAGCTAGGACTTTCCGCAAAGCGCCTATGTACTACATAGGACTTAGATTTTATATTACTGATGAGTAGTAGTGAGGATTTCGGTGTAATTAAGCTAATTCGTCATCGTCACTCCCAATCAACAGGCTTAGACTAGTCTGGAAATCAAATTAGATCAACGGTGGTTAGTCAGGGAATGCATGCGTAAACAAATGATGAGCCACGGTACAAGGGTGTGAGCGTATATAGCACGCGGTGGGAGAGTGGGGAATAACTCCGGGTTATCTGAGGACACGGGCAGCGTGTTGGTGATCCTCGCAGTGGGGAAGGAAGGTCATGTAGCGAAACGTGCACGTGATGACCAAGGGCGTATCTCAGAGGAATTTTCCCATCAACGCCAAACTCCGCTGCACTGCCCTCCAAAATTCCTTTGCGTGTCTGTATCTTGAGTGACTGACGCCACTCTGGCTCTCAACCTATATTAGCTATCATGCGCTCACAGCCGCTAGGGTTGTTTAGGCTAGAAGCAGCTTACACCACAGAAGTTACACAATGAAAGAAGCCGTTCTCCATGACTCCTAACACGTGCCCCTCTTCGGCGTCTCCTATGTCATGGGTGCGTTTGGATGAAAGATGTTTTCCATGGCTACCACCCTGCACCCACAACGAGACTGCTATCCATCACCTTCTAGACGGCATAACCGTCGTATGTCTCTTCTCATCACCCCTGAAGCCGTGTTGACAGCAACTGTCCGTACTAATCCGTCCGCACTAGCCTCACATTCAATAACACGACCCCCAGAGGCCAGCGCCCACGAGAAACATTTTCGGAAACGATTACTACTATGTCGCTGACGATCAACTCCCTTTTTGGATGCAGCCATTTTTGGCGTACTTGCAAGGTTGTGAGGTATTTTCTCAGCCATCTTTTTCAAATATTGTAGCTATGTAGTTCACCTGTTTCCATCGCTAGGTATACTTTTCTCTGATATCCAAGGTAGGGAGGTCTAGCACCTCGTGTCGGATTAAAAGAAGGCTGTTCGGTGTCAGAGGGGGCTCGTCGTGACAATCGCTTTTGGGCGCTACTAAGCGACGGTTGTTTACTATTCGTTCGATTTCAACAAACATGGTAGCAAGGAAGTCGTCAGATAGGTGTTGCTGGTTACACACACTATTTGTCACTTCCTTACCGAACGGACTATCCTTTCCAATACTCCTCCTCGATGACTAGAAACGGGCGGATTAAAATGCCATTGCACACCACGAGCAAGCAATTTGCGATTTATTGTCCATCGATCCCACCTCTGAATGCAGTCTCGTAATTCCTTCACTGCGCCGACGAAATTCGTCCTGTTATCACTATAAATATCGCTTGGCAACTGTGTCTGCCAACCAAACGGATAAGTACTGTAATATATGCATCCGTAGAAAGGTCGTGTGCCACCACGAGATGCACAGCCCTGTTTGCAGACAGGTAAATAGGCAACCGAAACGTTTTCCGTCCCCCGGCCACGTTTGACATAAACAGACCCAAAATAATCTGTGTCAGTACACTTGAAAGAAAACCACCCTTTCTCTGCTCTGGCTAACGGATGCGGGGACATATGTTGCTGGTAAGGAACCGCAGTCCACCTGCGCCACTCAACACATTTTCCGATTACCCTTTTCACGGCGCTACCACCATGCACAATCTAAAATCTTGTACGTATGACGCTTAGAACATGAAAAGCGCTGCTATGTCGCTCCATTTTGTGGTAGTGCCGTATGATCACCTCCACCACAGGTTGTTTGTTCCGTAGTATGGGGGGGGGGGTACTTCATATCATCACTGTAATTGGTACACCCCAGACGTCTGCCCACATAAATGACTTCATTACCTAAAATTGGGCTGAGACGCCTAAACGAACTCTTCAGCTGATTGAATTTGGATGTCGCATTCTCTGTCTGTAAATTCTTGAGTTCACTTGCATGAACCTCAGGCTGTATAATACGGACGACATCCACCTTGCCTTTTTCCAATTCACTCAATAGAAACGGACCCCCGGGACATAACGAGTCGGCAGAGCGAGCACGATGTTTAAGATGCTAAACTTTAAACCTCGAAAACCATGCAATTGCTCTAGTTAATCCAGTCCAATCAGAAAACTGGTTCAATAGGGGGTTCGTGTTCTTCACCAACGTATGCGCATTTATGTTAGGATGCGTGCTTTTCAACTCCAGGTTCAGTTGCGAACTAGCCGGAGAGCATTCGAACCGCAAAAGTCGTTCGTAACTCCTCAGGAACTCGGGATCTTGAAGCTAAGCTTCCCATTCACTTGATGCCCCACGAGGCCTCGTTGGCCGGGTTATCTTTTGTGCGCACGTGATTCCACTGGGAGCTCGCAGACATCCCAAGTTTGGTTGTGACGCGGTTGCTTGAGCGATATTCATAGTGATAACAGGACGAATTTCGTCGGCGCTGTGCAGGAAATACGGGACTGCATTCAGAGGTGGGATCGATGGACAATAAATCGCAAATTGCTTGCTCGTGGTTTGCAATGGCATTTTAATCCGCCCGGTTCTAGTCATCGAAGAGGAGTATTGGAAAGGATAGTCCGTTCGGTAAGGAAGTGACAAATAGTGTATTTAACCAACAGCGCTTATCTGACGACTTCCTTGCTACCATGTTTGTTGAAGTCGCACGAATAGTAAACAACCGTCGCTTAGTAGCGCCCAAAAGCGATTGTCACGACGAGTCCCCTCTGACACCGAACAGCCTTCTTTTAATCCGACACGAGGTGCTAGACCTCCCTACCTCGGATGTCATGCAGAAAAGTGATACACCATTCTTGTCTTTCGTTTCACAAAACTGCATTTTAGCCACTTACTAGCGCGTTGAACGGTACTTATCGCTCTACATCTACTACGACTTATGAACCCAATTCAAGTGTTATTCCGCTTTCGGTACCCACAGCATGGCAGATATGGCGCTTCGGTGCTGTTGTATTTCCCCATATCTGTACGAATAGTTTCTGAATACTTTTCTTACAGTTCTGACTGTGTCATCTAACATGAACTTTCCGCTCTCTGACCTGCTTAGTAACCTCACATGAGCTGATTATGCAGCTGTCTTAAGGCGGAACCCTGTCCATATACGGCTGCGATGAATTAGTTCAAGTTGCTGACCACGCACTTCCCATGCATCTCAGCTAGGTGCGACGTTACGTTGTAGTACTGGGTCTGCGCGCCACCACTTCTCATTACCACCGAACTATTACCTAAGATGGTCGAACTGTTTACGCATATCCGTTTGACTCTCGAATTACCGAATAGGGTACGTACAGGTTCTCTATGCTTCATAATTTCCTCTGCTTGCTGTTTGATGACTGAACTTCTCGCTTCTCACCTTGCCGGCCCTGTTGGCTACTCCTTGTTCTCCGCATGAGTACCAAGTGCCCTCTGTTTCTCTTTACCAATATTACTCCTGGCTGGGTGAATGCTATGAGTTTCAGAGCGAATACACAATTGCATCGCGCAGGCGCATGTTTTCTCCCTGTTTCTCTTTCTCGAAACCAACCACACCACTACCACCAGACCTTATGCAATTCAGAAATGAGTTCGCTGGCATTGGTACCTACTGGTGCTTTTGTATCCGGTTAAATTTTCTCTTCTCATTCCCAAGTTACGACCCAGCATGCTACGCCGAACTTTAACTGGGTCCCCTGTCGTCCGGTAGGACAAACTTACAGTGCACCTTTTACGCTAACTACGCATGGAGTATTGGAAAGCGTCTTTCTACTTTATTGTTGTTATGGTCTCTTTGTCTGCGCGATTCCGGTTGAACTGAACTCGTTCTCTGCTAGCAAAAGCGTGTTGCAGAACCAGCTACCCAAACGGAAACAAGTAGTGTGCAATCAACGGATATTTTTATAAGTCAACCAAGTAACAGCTTAGGGCAACTGTCCTGATTGGTAGATCCGTTCTGCCAATAGGAAAGTTGCTACGCACGTCATATGGATACGAACGTTCCTGAAACCACCTTATGTTTCGGTTGTGCACCATTGGCTCAGCTTGTTTCCCATTGAATTAATGACTTTCTGGGAGATTGTACTCTCCCAGACAATTGTGCTTTGTTTACGATCCTCTGCTTAGACGTTGCTGTTTTTTTTGCTCCCTGTGGCTGAGCATTTCATTGAAGTCGTCACCACGTCAATTTTCTCCGTAACTGTTTGTTCTAGTTTCTGTTACCGGTCGATAGCTTCCTTGAGGACACAAAAAGTCGTTGCTTGCGCAAGCATGTTTACCTCGTCTGACCCATTATACATGGGTTATGTGCTGTGACCATTCGTTTGAAATGTGAATATCGTCGTGACTTCCTGTCGTTTCTGACTTCTATTTTGCCCCAGCTAGCTGACCCCTTCGTTTACCGCTTGTTTCCGAACATCACGGTTAACACTTCTGATCATCGCCCATTCTAACTGAAGAACTTTTTAATGACTTTCTGTCATTCCTCTGCTATCGTAAGCGGCACATTTCATTCGGTATGGATTTCTATAGCTCATCTATTTTCCATTGCTATTTCTACCCTCGTCCGATTCACTGGCTCATGAAAATGCAACTCAACTCACCGATCCTGACTAAACAGCAAGCACGGTGCGTTTTTGTCACTCCGCCATATTTTCAACCTTGATTCACTGCTATAGTATACTCGGTTGACTTCGGCTTGTTGTCCAATGATGTGTCGCTTTGGACATCTTACTTTTCACTGGCTTTTTAATTTTGCACGTCTTCCCCCTTCATTTCCTCTCTTCATTCAATTTATAGGTCTGTGTTCCCGACCACTGCGCCAAGTTGCTCACGTACCCCGCTCGCGTGACACCATTCAATCTGGAGTTTATGCGTACTCTTGTCCTTAATGGTCCAAACGATTATCCGGGAGCATTGTTTGTCAGCTACAGACTTCGTGGCGAACAGAAGCGGCAAGCGGAGGCCAGCGGCGGCAGTGATACAATCAAGCGATTTTTAGCTCCCGCTCGAGCTCGCGAAGATGTGGCTCGACATTTGCAACCTGGCGACGTGGTCGAGCGGCATTTGATAGATGGAGATATCATCTTGTTCAATCGCCAACCATCGCTTCACCGTGTCTCCATACAGGCATTCAAGGTATCCCCGATCTCCCCGCATTATGATGCTTTAGACGCATTGTCATGTAGATGGTATATTTCTCGACTGTACGAGATACGCTCCAATTAAGTGGTCTGGTCAATATACTGAATACTGAGAATAGAGAGCGAGAAGATGAAAATATGAGTTGCTCCATCGTAGGTGGATCAGGCACCTGCTCGGAATCACGTCGCTGATTCCTGCGCAGTGGCAGGATATTGCAGCTTCATTACATCTTATCCGGGTGCGATACGCTCCCTATACCTGTAGTCCATAGATACAACAAGGTCGCAAAGGATAGATATTAACGTTTTCCAAAACAGTCCTCAGCTAAGTTCTGTGGGTGTTCGATCAGTTAATATTAGAAGGACGGAGGAGTTGGGAGTCTGATGAAAGGGGCTATTGCAAAACGTTCAAGTGAAGTGCTACGGCTACCCGTTGACCTGTCTCCATCCGGGATAACTCCTCGAAACGTTTCATCTGCACTTCCCCCCTCCATCTGGTCTTGTGCCGGTTTGGCATAGGAGCAGTTAAGCCGTCGCTATATTAACTCATCTTTAGAGCCGTTGCTATGCCAGAAGAGAACTATGCTTTTTTTTACTATTCTAAGCCCTTCGACCCGTTTCAACATCCGACTTTTTCGAGTCCGGTATTTCTGTTACTCGCCAGTAAGTCTGTGGCAGTTTACTTCGCATGCGTGTACTGATTACTTCAGAAGCTTCACACAGTCGCCTCAGGGGTTACCCCCGTCGTGGCAAACAATGGAAAAAGTGAAGTATAAAAGCATAGTGACATAAATAGCGATAAACGAGTGGTATGTGTCCGATGCTTTCTGCTTCTCTTTCTACATAAGAATTGCACATAAAATAAAATACAGGTCTCCAAAGAATTTTGATATAAATCCAATGCCTGCAGGTAATAAATAATTGGTGGTATATTTCTCAACACTGCGGGACACAGACCGACTACGTAGTCTGATCATTCTGTACAACACAATCGGATAGTGGACAAAGTTGTTCGGGCAGTTCCTAAAAGAGTTTGGGGTGTTCTGTCAGTTAAAAGACGGAAAGTAGAGCGTAGCAATAAATGTGTGTCTAACCAGCAGTTCACGTAAACTAGTACAACCATTCGTGGAACCGTCTCCTGGAGACCTGCTTCCATGTGGGGTAATACCTCGATGAGTTTCATTCACACCTCCATGCCTCATCTGGCGAGGTACTCATATGGGTTAAAAGCAAATAGGCCGCTATCAAGTTGACTCATTTTTTATGACCGATCTTATAAGCAAGTAGGTCCTTATCATGTTGACTCTTTTTTACGACTGCTGTTAAATGCTTTGCACTCCAGCCATACAGCCCATTCCAACTTCCATATCTTTCGAGTCCTGCATTCTTAGTATTCGTCAGTGAGTCTGTGGCAGTTCACCTTGAGTGGGTGTACCAGTTAGTTAGCTTGGAAGCTCCAATCCGTCACATCAGGAGATCGGCCCAGTCGTGGCCAACAAAAGGAGGAGAAAGTATGTGGAATTACGATGGAATAACAATAACACTAAACAACTGATTCATTTCCGACAATCATCTGATTCAACTTGCACATGGGGACCATAGGAAACAAATTACCTCCCAAAGTAATCATTAAAAGAGAAGTCTCGAGGTAGTATTGAAGTAGGCCCGACAGCTGTAGGCGATCGATAAGGAGAGAAATTGATCTCGCGACTTCACTTCCCAAGGGATTGCGAACTATTGCGGCGGACACCCAAGTTGTTGCCTCCGGGGATGAAGAGGAAACAGTTAGCGGTGTAGTGTGGGTGTAAAAAATGGAGAGAGAGAAAACCTTTGAGTCAAATGTCCACCTTGCCGAGATTGGACTTGGGGTTACTCGGATATTGCTTCCGCTGATTCTGCCTCAAATCCATCTAACATTACTGGTAACTTAGTTTTGCAATGAGAAACAGAAGGAACCAAAGTTAGAATGCCAGAATGCGCCTGACGAGTAACGAATATGGTGCGTACTCTTTTTAAATATTCCCCATTCCTTGTAAATATAGCTCTTCGATCGTTATTTGTCTTTCAGCAAGAGGAAGAATTGATTTAGCTCAGTTTTAAACTAACTGCTAGATTGGCTTGCTCTTACTGAGTGTGGCGCACTCGCTTCGATATAACTGAGTATCGCACTATGAAACAGTTCGCGCGTATTTGCAACATGAACTTTTGCTGAAGAAATATGCATTTTCTGTCCTTTAAGTTATAGTCACTATCCTCCATAATCTTCAGCTGGTTACTTGAGCTAGAGCTGCGATTGTGTATTCGTTTGTAAATGAAACTAGATCTTCGTATCCATAGCGGATCGATGTTCAGTAGGTTACATCTATCGTTATATGTTGCTAGCGACGGTTCATTCAAAACATGACCGTTGCAAACGATCCAGCGATAGTTGATCACTCCTAGACATCTGATTTTATATGATTGGGTAGTACTCCAGAAGTGGGCGTACGCAAATAAGTTGAAGGGCAAACTTGATGCTGGGTATGATTATTGAGTTGTTTATTAGGCCTAAAGTGCATCTTGCGTTTGATAACTGTTGTTGAGCATGAGTTAAGTTTAGTAGGTAATTGCAGTTTACTCCAAGTTCTCGGACGGACTGTGTTATCAATTGGATCCCCATTTAAAGCTTTTTGATGGGATGCTACATCTATGACAGGATTCGGGACACGGAAAATTTAATTAATCATCTGCTCAAAGCTCATGGGAATTCAGGTCCGTTTGAATGGTTTTCAGAATTCTCCGCAGATATTCAAATCTTCCCCAAAAGGAAATGGTTTTCCATATTTGACTTTGTCGGAAATATCGTTCATTTAGCTGAGGAATAGAATAGGACCGAGGACGTTGCATTGCAGAACTCCACTCATTGTTTCACATGCTTTGGGCTGCAGATTGTCTAGTAAGATGGTGCGCTCCTCCAAGAAGGAGGCAAACCGAGCCAGTGGTGAGTCGCCTACTCCGACTAAAGCCGTCCATATGGTACACACGGTCTAGAGCAGAGATTTCCAAAGTCCGCTCCGCGGGCCAAATCCGCTAACCTTTCAACTGGCTCGCGGCCTCATCATGAAGTAATAACTTTACATTAAAAACGCAATAAAAATATTTATGACGTGTAATTTTTGCTATTATCTTGTGGTCAAACCGCATATTGCCCGATATCTTTACGTCATAAATTGTGGCCCTTCTTGCGAAAACTTTTAACAACTCTGGTCTAGAGCTTTGTGCATATCGAAGTAGATCACCAGTACCTCCTTTTTGGCGTCTACAGCCTGAAGTGACGCATTCGAGAAAACCTAATTGGCAGGTGTTACCTGAGCGTCTATCCATAAACCCGTGTTGTTGATCACTTAGGAGTCTGTGTGTCAGAAGATACACATCGCGAATTTTTACTTTTTAAAACACCCTAGAGATGGTGGAAATATTCTTAATGGGGCGATAGTTTCCCACTTCGTCCTTTGCACTGCTTTTGTGTCGTGGAATGGTGAGAGAATGTTATCACTAGATTGGAAATCGACTACGTTTTAGAGAACGTTTTAACCTGTTAAGAAACAGAAGGGGGATGTCTTCGCTGCTATGCGTGAGTACAGTTTGTGGACCGCCGTCTAGCCCTGCACGATTAGACGGCCAAACTGATTTTAAGGTGCATTTCACCTCTGGGAGTGTTGTGGTTACCGACAGTATGCAGTTTGTGTCATTCGTCTGATATATATGAACAAGATCGGCTTCGTTCCTGTGTGAAGAAACAAATTATTCACTCAACGCTTCACATTTGTAGAGCGAATCGATGATATTTACGTCATTTTGTCGAACTACCATACGGATTCGGCCGTTGCACCTGGGTTTTCCTGACTGTAAAAGTTGTGTGCGCGCAAATGTTTGGTGGCGATTGGAAGTTGCCAGCCGCTTTTACGTTATATGTTACAACCCGTTTTCTTTAGCAACTTTATTGCAATTGTTGTCAATACACTTAACAATAAGTTATGTTATACCTAGCCGTAAGCTTGCGTAGTTTGCGACGTACTCCTGATGACAGTTGGCTGGCGGTACTGCTTGCTGGGATTCGCATCCGTTTGAAGGACGCGAGTATGTCTATGTACGTTTAAAAATGTGTTGGGCGCTCTGGCGCACATTATTCGACATTTCCGGTCAGGACAAAGTTATTCTAGCTGAGGGACCGGAGAAGCTTGGAAAAATGACACCAATTAGCACAGCGTAGGGGACCATGTAGTATTATGGAAGTTCGTTGGCTCCAAGAGGTATACAATGGTATGATCACTGTCCAAAAATTTAACCAGGACAGATACACCAACGCATGAGAGGTTAGGAGTAACTCGGTTGCGAACCCTAATCGTTCTCCTGTCTAGGCCTGGGCAACCTGACAGTATCCTGCCCACGCAATACACCATGACCTTTTCTTTTAACAATCTCTTGCTGCTCTGGCCGTCGCAGAGGATAATAAGCGGCGCCCTATCTGCTGCATCGAGCATGGTGGATAGGGGTTTGGATGCTACTGCTCAGGCCTTCCCGTTTTCTTATTCCCCCTCTTGCGCTTTTTCATCCTTATCGTCCCGTTCCAACTTTACTTTCATCCCCCCGTTTTCAATCCCCCAATTCTTGGCCCTCACCCAGCTTGCTTCAATAGTCACTTGTCTTCTAGTTTCAACTCACACACAATCGCAGGGTGTCGCTCCAGTCCAGTCGACAAGTCCATGTTCAACCAAGCGGACAACGTCAGTTCATCCGTTTCCCTTTGGAATCCTCGCTAAGACTGGCATGCCTCAACGTGCGCACTTTGCTACAGATTGGCCAACAGGCAGCACTTGCCCGAACACTCGAGACTGTCTCGATCGATATTTGTATATATATCGGAAACCCGCCTGCAAGATTCGAGCTCCGTTATTACCCTGCGATCACCTACATGCGACACTGGCGGCACATTCTCATTGCACCTGTCTGGCG